GCCAGAAGGTCCCCCCTGAGAGAATTAAAATAAGTTACAAAAATACTGCAAAAATTTATCGAAACTCAGGAGATGAACACTCTGCAGTCACTCCACTTTGAAGCCACTCACTTGTGGTTTTTTGACCAGAAAGACACTTCCAAGCTACTCAGAAGTTCCATGCAATGACCTCACTGAGACGTGTTGGGTCTGTAAATCAACATGACACGTTTTGTGTCGCGAGGGCGGAGTTTTCACTCACTCCCTCCTTAAAAAGGATGTTCCTGATGGCTTTCAACAGGAATTCTTCAACAGAGGATCGACTTTCCAAGGTGTCTTTTTCCAGTTATCAAGAATTAAATGTAAGAACATTGGTGGTTTAATGAAAACAATGATGGTGGAGTGATAAACAACCTAGAGGTGAACCCAACCCTTGTGCAAACCAGCCCCCTCCAGACCCAATTATACTTACAGGATGGGAGCCTAAATCCTGGGAGAGCAGCAGTTCCCAAAGGACTGAGGAATCATGATGGATAATCATCTAAATTTACAATCTTTTAATGCAAATAACTGAGGCTGAAAGGTTTCAAAAATGCAATCCTTGGAGGTATCAACAAAACAAGCCACGATATCAGCTGAGAGGTTCGAGGATGGACCTGCATGTCCTGCACACAGCAGGACTGAAACCATTCCCAGGGGCAATTCCACGCTTTAGAATGGGTTTTAAAACACCTGGAATTTCAGAAGAGCCATAAAAGCTTTACAATTAAAGAGGTTTAAGGAACTCCATCTACAGAGGTTATTAATGAACATGTTTTGATGTGGATAAAGTGAAATAGTTTCACACTAGAGTCGTTATTCATCCTTCTAAGAGGCTCTGATGGAACTGAACAGTCCTGGAACTCAAGGAGGACTAAGAGCATGGAAAACCAACTACCTGCACCACTCCAGAGACACGAGAAGGATCCTCACACTTGGAAGGATCTAGAGGAAAAGCAGCTTTTTCAAATTCGTGTCCTGCTGCACCCAAAAGATGCGGGAACAACGGGCTTGGCCTCTGGGGATAAGGACATGCCAGTGCCAGCATTCCACTGCAGGGTCACTCCTGGCCTTAAAATCAGCTTGTCTGGAAGAGCAGGAAGCTGCAGAGAACATCCAGACTACCAGAGGAGGAGAGAAAGAACTCCAACTACAGGCACAGTCCATGAGAAACGGAGCACAGAGCTGGGTTCACACACCACCCATTTGCAGACCTTGCTGTTTCAATTAAAAACTCCAAATTAGCTGTTAGGCCTCCAACTTTTACTTTCATATTCTTAATTCCGTTTCAATGTATCTGATATTTACATATTATAGTATAATTACACCTACCATACCATGGCTTGGAGTAGGTTAATTGCATAGGAAGATTTACTAACTGTTTACATTTTTGTTTCTTTGTTGTTGGGGTTTTTTTTCCTTAAATTACTCTTTTTTTTTTTTTTCTTTTTTCCCTCTCTCTCTCTCGTTTTTAAAAAGCACAGTAAAGAGTCTGAGGACAAATTATTCAACTGTTTATCATACATAAGACTGCATGACTATAATACAAAGGGCTTGTCTTTTCATTTAACGTTACAATATACACAGCAAGTCCGGACTAGATCTTACAATCTGAACACAGGTATTTAACCTTTTCCATGCTGTTTATGTTTACAATGCACAGAAGTCCTGTAACCAAACTGTGTAGTAAAGCACACAAAACTGGACTGTAACATAACACAGTATGCAGAAGCACTGGATTATTTTTTTTTTTTTTTATGATTTCTTCTTGATGGAGATATTATTTCTTTGAACTGCTTTTATTTGTTGGTTTTTTTTTTTGGGGGGCGCTCGCTAAAGGTGTGGCAACTGGAGCACACGAAATGTTACCCAGATTTCATATTACCCTTATAATTCCTAGACAGCAGTAAGTACTGGATTCCTTTTTTTTTTTTATATATATATATTGCTAAACTCAGCGTTCCCGGTTCTAAGGGTGACAGCCTTCCAAATCCTGTAAACTTCTCCCAGTTACTGAGCTTCCAAAAAAAAACCATAAAGACAAAAAAAAAAATGGAAACAAAACAAAACAAAAATAAAATAAAAAAAAATCCCACTTTCATCCACAGGGTCGATGTGTCGATACAAAAAGAAATCGGTCGATCGAGGAAACCGCGATTTACAAAAAAAAATAAAACTAAAAATAAAAATGAGCATCCCAAGGGTTTTCGTCCCCGTTCCCATGGTGAGTCAGCTGCTGCGTTGCCACTGTGAGGGTTAAAAAATTCCACCTTCTCCACGGAAAAAAAAAAAACCAAAACCAAACCACGGCTTGGCCGCATGGAATTGGCCATTTGCTGCTAAATTAACTTTTCCAAGGGCTTACTGGCAGAGGTAGATCACTGCTTCTGTAAGGGAGGATGGGCAACACTGGGCATCTGGGATGGGCAACAGAGGGATTTGCCTTCTTCTTTTCCCAAGTTTTTCATGCAGCTTTTACCTTTTTTTTTTGTTCCCCCCCCCCCCCCCAAAATCAAATCTCTGGATGGGCCCATAAATTTTGCAACTGCCAAGCTGACTGTGTTATATTAAGGCAGCGTTACCCAAAAATTAGGCACCTGTTAAATACAGCCTGCTAACCTCAGGTCTCATGTGAGTGTTTTTGCTTTACTCAGAACTTATTGTTTTGGACCTGTTCATGCAATCAAGGTCTTTTGCCTTCAAGTTTACAATTATGTTAATAAGGAATACAAGAATCAACTGCTGGTTTCATAGCTTCTGGTTCTAAGTGTCCCTTTTGCCTTCAGAAGCCTGAACACATTGATAATGTAACAGATGTTATAGTCTCCAAGTAGATGTCAATCTATTATCTTCAGTACACAGATTGCTGTAAATGTATTGGCTATGAATTCAACAACAGTTCCAGTTTTGTTTAAGCAATAGTACAGCCATAATTTTCAACTGACATTTAAAAATGGTCTAGTTACACCTTGTGTCAAAGTGCAGAACTGCTACATTATTGGTTACAGACATCTATGTGCTATAAAAACAGCTTTGGTACAATAAATTATCAAAAAAGAAAATAAATTTTTGTAAAATTCACAGCATAATTGTGAGGCAAAAAAGCAGTCACATAAAATTCTGCATTTTTTTTTTTTTAAAAATGTTCAGGATGAACAGAAGACGTCTTTGTGCAGAAGTAATGGTGGAGAAACCACGTGCCGAGAAAAAAGCAAAAGAAAAAAGTAAAAAGCAGGAAGGGACACAGTTGTAGCTATTTCCATCAAAGCAAACCACTACTCCTGTGACCTTCAACCAATAAGGAAGTCAACTTTATGACACACGCAAAGTGACCTTGCAATACCTTACAATAAGTGGGTCACAAAAGTCTATTTTTTAAAAGAAAGGCCTCTTGAATTACCCATTCTCTGTGTTTTCAGCATTAAGGACTGTCTGCAAAAGCATGTCCAAAAGTGATTGCATCTGAAATGGTAGGCTCTTCTAACTTAAGAGTCCAAATCCATAAGGCCAAAGGTTATCCCAAAGACCACCACTTAGACCTCCCCAGGACTGGCCAGGACCGACCCGTTGATTGCTTCTCAGTGCACCTCAGTTATGAAACCAGTCATATTCCAACACTAACTGCCTGCGGTCTCCAAAAGGTGGGACCCCCAGAATCCCATCACAAATTGCTGCTTTGATCCTCAGTAGATTCAGAAAAGGAGAGTTCTGCTCACCGCCACTTCGCATGCTCAGTGTGCCTCACCAGCTCCGTCACAACCGTCCCTTTTTACAGCTGAAGAGTTATAGGTTTGTGTGATCTGAAGGTCCCTCTTGCTTACAGTACTGCATTTCTGTGCCCATGTTTGGTTGGGGAACTAAAAAAAATATATATATTAACTCACTCCCCCTCCCCACCCGAAAAACTTCAAAGGGCCTTTTCTCAGAAAACCATGTGCAATGCCTTTAAAAAAGAAAACTAGTTTGCAACTACGACTAAGGTTTGAACAATAACCCCCTGTTGAATGAGAGCAAAAAAAAAAAAATAAAGAAAAAAAAAAAAGAAAAACAAACCAAAACCCCTCCCCCAAAAAAACCAAACTATGACTAGAGGTTGTGGCAAGTTAAAATGGGGGAAGCAAAAGGTGAACACCACTAAGCTATTTGTTAAGGTGGGTCCAGACATGGCTCTTGAAAAAAATAAAAATAAAAAAAAAAAAAGGGGGAAGCAAAAGGTGAACACCACTAAGCTATTTGTTAAGGTGGGTCCAGACATGGCTCTTGAAAAAAATAAAAATAAAAAAAAAAAAAAAAACCAACCTAAAAACCTCCCCCCACCCCCCCAAAAAAACCAACAACAAAAAAAAACTTCATTGTCCCTTTGCAATCTTTTCAAGTTTAAAAAAATAGTCAACTTTGCCCTCCTGTAGCGGTTCAGTGAGTTTATCTCCTTCTGATTCAAGCAGCTTTGCACTTTGTTTTTTTTTTTTTTTTTGGAAAAACACCACTTCTATAAAAACACACAAGAAACAAACTTAGTTTCAGTTTAGTCACGAGCTAGCCACAGGACTTTGCTGAACACAAACTCCTGTCATGGGAGACTCTTCTCTATCAATGCCTTGCCTCATGGCAAGGTGTCCTTCAGTCATGTAATGAGCAGGACCTGTGTTAGCAGAGAACTGGTACGTGGGATGTCCAGCTATGCCCGTTTCTTGGCGCGGATTAGAGTAGACTGTTAAATTCATGTCCATCGCTCCGTTCTGTCCAAAGTCCAAGGTATTAGCAGCCACTGGGCGGTTCTGATAGGCCTGATTGCCTTGGTTACCAGTAGAGGAGGAAGATGTAGAGGAAGAAGTAGTTGAGGAAGACAGGGATGTCATGGAGTGGTGACTGTGGCCCACCTCCATAGAATCCTGGGTGGAGGAGCTGTTTGTTGGAGAATTGTAGACTCTCGGCCTGGTCCGGCTGCCCAAGGCTTGCTGTCCATGGTGGTGGTGGTGGTGGTGGTGATGGTGGTGGTGGTGGGAGCTGTTGCCGTGGTGATGATGTAATGCATTCTGTTGTTGAGGGTTTACATGGAAGGTGGTTTCTTGAACTGGGTGGTTTTCAACAGTGACCTGTGTCGGAGCTTCGGTGGCCGTCCAACCAATCGGGGGAGGAAACTGCTGTCGAACCTGGGAAGGAGCACAACTACAGTTAAAATGCTGCCTCAGATCTGCCCATTTCACAGGACCAGAGAGTTACTGAGGTCGGAAAAGACCTCCAAGATCATCAAGTCCAACCTTGGGGCACCGTCTTCTCAACTAGACCAGAGCACTGAGTGCCACATCCAGTCGTTCCTTGAACATTTGCAACATATGAGAGATTCATATTATTGAGTTATTCATAT